CGCTACTAGGAACAAGTGCCTTACTAGTAGTAACAAGAAGCTACTAGTAGGTCCTGGCAGTCTGCCAATTGACTCACGGCCCTGTCCTTGTCGCCTCGTCGCGCCCAGCTCAAGCGATGGCCGACCAGCTCAAGGAGCTCGTCCAGGGCGCCACCCTCAGTGGTCACAGTGGTCCGTGCGTTGAACCAAACTGGTGTCTCAAAGACCTTGAATCCCACTCAGCAATCAGCAGGCATGTGCCCAGATGTCAAGTGCCGTGTTGAGGTTCTGGCGTGCAGGAGGCAGCTCCTACTCAGGCCATCGGAAGAGACTTGAATGACTCGAACCTACTTTCTCAGGTTCCCAGCCACTGCCACGCAGTGAATGGGGCTGCTTTTCTATGCGTCTTCTCCTTCTACCCTCTTTCTGGGTGTATTCAAGTGTGTTCTGTATTCTTCCTCTCCCAGCAGTGGCGCTTCGTCCGTTGACGCTTCGTCCGTTGACTCTGTGAGGTGGTCCAGGCAGCAGCAGTGGAGGCATCCACACAGGACAGCAGAGTCTGGTGCGGTGAAGTCAGGCACCGTGGCAGGTCGTGTCAGGGCACCTTAGACCCTGCGCAAGCGCCGCGCATTTTGCTTTCAACCCAGAAGCGTATGACATTCTCAAGAGGACGTTTTTTAGCAAAAACCATACATTTTGCAGGGTGAAAGCCTTCTTTTTGTTGAACGCCTCTGGCTATGTTGGGCTTCTTCGGCAGTCTAGAGTGAAGGTCTCCGTGAAGGGCTCCGTGAAGGAACATAGGTGACATGCTCTGAGTCACCTCATTTCAGCCGGACCGATAGAACAAGATGGACAAGTCTTGTGCCCATTTTCTGTGTGGAGGTCTCCCTGCCAGATCCGCAAGTGTTCAAGAGCAGAGGGATTCTCCGCTCCGACAAATCAACAACACTGTTTTGTTATTTCAAGTTTCCCTCAAAATCTAGGAACCAAACCATTGAGCCCGAGCCCTATCCTACAGAGGCAATGCGGTTGACGAGCGTCTCTAAAGTCACTGCCGGTTTGTATTGACGACCGGTGGTCGTCGGTTTTTTGGAGTCGAAATAAATGAGGAGGAAAACGAAGGCAAAGCTTTAAGGGTGTCTGTGCTTTAAGGCCCACGTCCAAACACCTTGTTTCATTCTTTCTCCCAGACTTTGTCGAACTGTGAATTACTGTATGTCCTTGACTCAGAGGATGCTGCCTCGGGCGCGCCCACGGACGTGGTCTGGGAAACCTGGATTGAAACGGCATGAAACACCATGTCGCGTCAGTTGTGCCCCAGGCGGATCGAATCTTACATCGGATTGGATCGCGCGAGAAAGACAGACCTCTCACAAGTAGTGGCTCATCCCATGTGCCGAAGGTGGAGCTTGGACTGGCAGAATCATCTCTTGGAAGTCATGTGGATAGGCAGCATACCAATATTCTGACAAATTGTGAACTGGTTGTTTTGCTGGCAAAAATTATTCCAAGTACTGCTTGATCCAAGATTCCAGATTCAAGGTACCATGACGCCCCCTCAGCTCTCTAGAGCATGATGTCTTTCTAGCGGGTATTTGAGGTGTTGCAAGAACCGTAACCGCATGGTTCAAGAGTCAAGAGTGTATTTCAACAAGCTTGTTTCTATCATTTGTTCTACTACCTGTGTTTAAAGGTGTCTAGGTGGGGGGGCTGCTCAACCATCAAACATGGAGAACAATTGCAACATTAGTAGCCAAGGTAAGGAGGGCAACTAAGAGGCTCCATTCATGATGGATTGGGTGGTGTTCCTTCGCTTTCCTCACGCTACAAGTGAGGGACTGTCAACGCCAACAGTAGTCAACATTGGTAAGTCGACTGTGTTGTTGTCGTCGTCTTCCTTGCGGGGGGAGTTGTACACCCGAACACAGGAGCATACAACCATTGTAAGTGGACAGGTCCGAGAGCACGGATCCTTTTGGATGGTTTAAGTTTGGCCCTTGATTTTGAGGCTGGACAGAACCTTCCTTTCCATCCTCTAGCTGCTAGCTAGCAAATTTCTGAAGTTGATATGGTGTTTGTCTGGCACCTAGTGTTATTCAGACGGCATGGCAGGTCTGACTCCTCAGATTGCTTGAGATCCGGAGGGACATTCATCTACAAATAGAGCCAAACCATTCGCTTGAAACTTCAGGGGACTCCTATTCGCTTGGTAAGGGAGGCCATCGCTTAGGTTAGATGCCATCGCAACTAGCTTGGAGGCCATCACTATTAGGATGGAGGTCATTGCAAACTTAATTCTAAACTTAATTCTAATGGCTTCTTGTTACTACTAGTAAGGCCCTTGCTCCTAGTAGCGATGCACTTGTTCCTAGTAGCTTCTTGTTCCTAGTAGGTTGGTGCACTGCTCCCTTCTTTTCGGCCGATCCTTTGGGGCCAAGGCCTACGTGGCCCCTGATCCGAACGTCATCAAGTGGCCTGGCAAAAGGGCGGAGCACCCGCTATGGGACCGGTGTTCGCCGCGTTCGCCGCGTTGGCGGCACGGTGCGATGTCCTCGGTCACCCAGGATTCTACTCCAAGAATTGTATAAGCACTTGAGCAGAGGTCCCTAACCTTCTCCAGGTCTTGCAATCGGAAGGAGTAGAATTGAAGTCATATGTGAGCCAGTATAAATTGCAGGGCAAATCCGGTACTAATAGTTTTTCTTTTGTTTTCTCCATATTGATGAGGTTAAACACCATGGTGCATGTACGCTGGGGTGGGGTTGAAACAGTTGAAGCACTTGAGCCCCCACTTATCATCTTCAAAGGATTTGTGCAAGAGAAACATTTTCTGAATTGGGCACTTACTTGCACTGAGATCGGTGGTTTTCGTGCCATTCCTGTCGAGCCACAGAAAGACACTGGCTGACTCATGAGCTCAGTGTTGATACTTGCAAACCCTCAAGCTGCTGCGGATGGCTTTGCTTGGGAAGGTGGATATGTAAGAGGCATTGTCCATGACTTCAAAGTATTAAGGTCGTTCTTTGAAGATGTTGGCATTCCTCTGAGTGCCAAGTCTCGTTGCGTCACCAGCAGCTTGCGCAAGAAGGAGTCTTGCGATATCGTAGAGAGCTTCTTCCATGAGAATGTGCAAACATTTGTCCTGGTGCTTGCATCCCATGGAGCACCGGTTGCGGGTGAGATTGCCAGCACTCGGGAAGGGTGGCTGCGCTTTGAGGATGTGTTACGCCTCTGGGTGGTTCTCGGACATGTGAATGATGTCAACAAGCTTCTCTTCATTCTGCTGGACTGCTGCCACTCCGGCTTTTGGGTGAATAAGGCCGCAAGGCTCCGCTTTCCCAATGTGATGGTACAAGCTGCCTGTTTAGACACAGGCACGTCTGTGGCTGACTACGAGGAAGACTGCGGGCCGGACACTAGCTTTCTCTGCAAGTGGGTGATTGAGCAGCGATGGCAGCCCTCACCTGTGTTGTTCGTCTTGCCGCAGCGTCCTGTAGCGATGACAGTGGCAGGTTTGGATGTGGAGCGAGTGGGATGGAAGTTGAGCTTTGTGACTCGGAAGAAGGATCCAGTTCGCATCATCAAAGCTCTACCAAAGAAGTGCCTTGACTTCCTTGCGAAGAGGTTGGCAAACATGGATGTGGAAGCACAAGTGCGCCTTCTCATTGATCTGACAGACGCTTCCAGTCAACATGGAGCGGAATGGCAAAGGTGGCGCTTCCGTCCAGTTATGGAAGAGCTGCAGAGTGCTAGGCGCCCATTGATGCGGAAGGAGGAATTGCTGGTGGACCAACGCACCTGCGGCATTTTCCAACAGGCGAGAGATTTGCTGGCTTGCTCGCAATGGGATGATGCGAAATCTTGCCAGGCTCGCTATTTTGCCACACTACGAACTCAGAACAAGGACATGTTGGTTGAGGAGGTGACACTGAGTGATGACGAGATGGCCTTTCAGGTGCTATGGCATTTTCAGCACTACTATACTGGGGCTTTTGACCGGGCACTGTCGCCTTGAGAAGCTGTAGCAGCATTTTTGCAGATTTGTTGTATTTGTCATGCTTGAAGTTGGTTTAACTCGGGCAATGACACAGCATGATGCCATATAGTATGGCCTCGAAGGCTTTGTTGTTCTGTCAGTCCTTGGAAAAGACTGCTCTTTGAGGCAGCATTTGACATCCTGCTTGGACACAATCAAGGAGAACAATCAACACTTTCAGTACACATCCTCGCTGAGCGCACTTGTTTACGCATGGATGGCAGCTAACTGGCGGAACAAAGCTAAAGCAAGTGGCACAAATGAAGAAGTTGAGCGCAGCAACTTGCCCACATACTTTAGTAGCTACTGTACGAGACACGAATTGTGTACGAACAGTATTAATAGTATACAACGGGTATTTTTTACGATCTACTAGGAGATCCGAGATGTTTGGGTGTTTTGTGGCTTTTTGACCCTTTCCTTAGCACAGGAAGTTTACTTGTGACTGTCATCATGCCAGGCCTGCGTCAGGCATATCGATGCATTTGCCAAATGCACGAAGTTGCAGACACAGCGCACATGAGTCCGCTCGTGGCTGCTGAAGTTTCTTTGATTTGCGGGTGCTGGGAAGCAGATGCTGCTTCCATTGGCAAAGCTGCTTTTGTTGGCGACTTGCTGGGCAAGAGCGTTGATGATTTGCGAACGAGTCTCAAGAGGGAAGTCGAGCGGGGCATTTCTTGCTGCTGTCAGGCCGGTTGGTACGATGGCTACCTGAACAACACACTGACATTGTGCCACATTGAAATGTTGCACGCCCAGGGCAGTAAAGATGTTCAAATGGTCGAGAACATGCTTTGTGCGATGCCGTTCGAGGTAGCAAGTAGAAGAACCCAGCACAAAAGGAATATGTATCTCGCAGAGGCCCGCATTTGCAAGCTGGAGTGTGAAGAAGCAAGCCTGTTTGACGATCGCGCATTTGATGCCATCCGAGGGCTTTTGTGTGATTTAGCCAGTGCTTTTGAGCTTCATAAGGAGAAGGTAAAGTGCAACGAGCTCGAGCAGCGGTTGAAATTGGTGGTGGCCCGACGATCGGGGGCATGACTCAATGGTCGCTGGCGGCCTCAACCGTTCAGGTTTGAGGACTGCACATAGGGGGTAAGCCCCTTGTTTAGTTTGTATGTAGTACATACTGTATTTCTTGTGAGGGTTATTACTGGCTGTCTCGATCTTTAGGCCGCTTAGCCTCTCAAGTCCTGTTTTCTTGAGTAGCCAACATATCTAGCTCCGATGGTGTTCATTATGGACGCGGGAATAGAAGAAGAAATGGGCCATTAGCGAAAGACATAGGCGTCTTCTGCTTGGAAGCGATACCTGTTCACAGCCAGTACTGACCGCGGTTGGAGCAGCTCAAAGTAGCCCAACCATGCCTAGTCCAAGAACTGTTTACTTAGCCTTCATTTAGCCTGGTGAATACCGAGCTCACAGACTCACAGTATTGGAAAGATGCGGCTTCGAGCGATCTCCTGTCCCACAAGGTGGGCCCGGGGCCCTTCGAGTGGGCCTTGTTTGAAGTCCTTGGGTCCTTTGCTCCGGTGCTGCCAAGGACCCACATCATCGCCATGGTAAAGAACATGGTGGGAGGTGGTGACGAGGTGGATGGCGATACTCCCTTGATGGAGTCGGGAACTCATCCGGAGGTCGAGCTTGTCAGTGTTTGAGATGTGAGACGCCCAGAGCGGTGTTTGTTGCCTTTCCTTTTGTGGAGAATTCAGACATTGTTCTTGTAGGTGGATGCTTCTTCACAATACACGTCGCTTCGTTGGCCGAAACACAAGATCCATTGGATTACCGCTCTTATCATGGCAGTTGCACCACCTGCGAAATTGTTCGTAGAACTGAACACAGCTTGAACCTAAAATGCATGCCTTTGTTTCAGCTCGATCATGTCATTTTCTACGACTTCCTCCCATTGCTGGCTTGCAAATTTGGAAAATACTTATTGTCATCCGAACGGCTGTGACGGGTTGTCCCGACTTGAGCCACGAACAGACTCTTCAAAGGAGAAACTTGAAAAAATCCATGAACATCAAATGAGTTCCATATCACAAGATGAGTTCCTCGACACTTACTCCAGGGGAGATACTCATTTTATCGAACAATCCCATGATGAGGTCCGGTGTGGATTCCTTGGCCTCCGTGGAGTTGCGCACGCAGTTGCAGTCGGAGCGATCACCAGGGGATCACGATTTTCGGCGGAATGGGTGATGGTCCTGGTGTTGTTGGCCTGGGAACCAAGACTTGGTCAAGAGCTTTGATCAGTCTGTAAGTACATTCCTGTAGGTAGGGAGTCACAACTCACAACTTCTTCCTTCCTATACATCCATTTCTTTCCTAAAGGCCGCATCACCGACTTCCGATTTACCGTTGTGCTGTAATGCCGTGGAGGCACCCTGCCATCTGAGATGTGCGCACACACACACAGGAGTTAGAAAGAACTTATCCATCCTTGGTCCAACATAGGGCGCGAAAACATAATAATAATATATATATATACACATAAAGAGTCAATTCTTTTCAACTTGTTAACTCACATGTAGTAGTGATCTGAAGAATTAACATTGGACTTAATTCTTTTGCAATGTGGTTTCAGTGACCATTGCTTGGGACAAGGAGACACATAATTAACTCTGGATTTAATTCTTTTCAAAGTCTGTTTAAAGTTATCTTGGGAGACTAGGAAACTAGAACGGTTTAGAGAAAGAACAATGTCTCAGTGACTATACTTTGGGACACAGGGAAAAAGAATGAACTCTGCAGTTAATTCCTCGAACGACCATGCGAGCATACGAGAACTGAAAAGGAATTACCATCAGGAGTAAATTACTTTTAACTCCGGAAAGTACTCCTTTTCACCCACACACAAGCTTTGGACCCCATTGACCGGTGCCTCAGCAGCCTTCGCCTTGCAGGAGTTCAAGGTGAATTTGCCATCCACTGTGATGTTCAACTACCCCACCATCGAGGGCATTACAGGGTCTGGGAGCCTTGACCGTCGTTGACAGGAGGTTTGGATGGACAGACTCTGCAGCACCAGGCGTTTTTGCAACTGTCAAACCATTCCTTTTCTTCGGTTCATAGCAGTATAGATAAGGAGCTCTTTTCTTTTGGCAAGCCTTCACATGCATGCTGGTGCCAAGAGGCACCTCGGCACCTCTGGAGATCCCACCATAAGAGCGTTCAGCCAAGTGCAATTCAAAAAGACAGCTTCTTGCTCCTAGTAGCGATGCCCTTGCTACTAGTAGCTTCGTGTTACTAGTAGTAATGCCCTATAGCTACTAGTAGCGTCCTTGCTACTAGCATATTCGCATCATTCTCCACAGCAGCAACGTGAACCTCAGTTTCCGACAGTCGAAATGGGCCAGTCACGTGCAGCACACTTGAAGTTTCACTCTACACTTGGGCTCATCCCACAAAAACCTGTTTTTGCGTGAAATCTAATGATGACAATTGTGACCATGTAAGCTTTGTCCACCCACTCTGTCACAAGCGATCAAAACACTCGCACTCGAAGTCCCGCTGGCTGTGGACATATAGGCTTCTGGTGGACGAGTGCACCCAGAAGAAGATCACTTGGACTGGCTGAGGACCAGCTGTTTTGGCTGCGCTCCGTGGCATACTTTTGGGTGCAAAGTGCTTCAGTCACAAAGCCGCCTCCGGAGCCACCGCCGAGTGGGTTTTGTTGCATGTAGATCCTCTGTATCAGAGAGCATTGCACTGGACAAGGAGATAGGCTTCAAGATCTTCTACTGTCAAGATCAGTCCACATCTATCTCTCTCTCTCTCTTTCGAATCTTGAACCTTTTCGCAATGCTGCAGTTCTTTTCTGTGGCCGTGTGAGGCTCCAGTAGGAACTGAGTTGTGACACAAGCGGAAACATCGAGAGATTTGTGAGGCTAATGTAAGATCTCGAAATGTGCCTGGGCAACCAAAGGCATGTCGGCATGTCATGTCACAAGATTCTAGACTCCTAGACCACCATACTTTCGCAAGTTGCGCCGGAAATCCGTCCACTTCGATGTCATGGCCCGCCTTGGAGCGTCGCCGGCCACGGCCCTACAGGGCACCGCATTTGCCGGCCGTGGCCAGCTTGCCCGTGCTGCCGGCGCCAACAGCGTCTTGTACGTTTGTTTGTTTTTGTGTCTTTTTGTCGTTTGGAGTCTCAGAGTACTCACAAAACTTCTATTCTTGAAAAGCTAAGGCCGGGTTGAATCAATGATAATGATAAGTGCTGGACTTTTTGGACCTAATGGCATGTGCTCGACCCAGGTGCATTTGTACGAGCACATTCACGAGCACCATCATTACTTTTACAGGCCCGAGCAAGGACAGGTCAAGGAGACGCCCATCACTGAAGAAGTGAGACCAGAGGAGGGACCGGTCACTGAGCAGATGGTCACCGTCGAAACCAGATTGGAGCGCCGGAGATCGACTGTGGAGCGTTCGAACGCTCCCAAGCGACGTGCCAGCAAAGCTGAAGAAGCTGAGCCGATGACGATCCCGCGGATTGTGGTGGAGCAGGTGGATGGCCCACCTTCGTCAAGTCAGTCTCAAACAGACTTGGAGGACAGGTCTGTGAGTCTATGTCCTGCTTAGCTGCTTTAGCAAGGCGGAAGCCTCACAGAAAGCAACAAAACAACAAAGACGACGGGCTACTCTCTCTCTCTCTCAACTTACGTAAGCCTTTGGAATCCCTGTGGAGAAAATATGTTTGTCAATACATTGTAACCGATCCTAAGAGCTGCTGTTGCCGTCAAGATTTCCCTCTTAATTGTCGTGACTTGATGCGTGCGCCCAAAGAAACGTGGGACTGAGAACCGAACGAAACGAGAAAGCCTCCAAATTTGGGATTAGGATAGGAACATTAGGAACCCTTTATTGAGATAGGAACATTAGGAACCCTTTACTCTCTTCAATTCCAATCTAGAAGCCAACTGCGGAATTCGCTCAGTCATTGGGGAGTGTTGAAGCCTGGCTGAGCTTGGGAAAGCTTCAGGGCTCCTTCGATGGGCTCCTTGTTGGGGCCTCGTCACCAGGCTGAATCCAGAGCTATGGGCTATGGGTAAACTTGCATGGCCCCGCAGCCTCTTTGCAAGACATAATGAATCTGAACAGGCAGAGAACTTCGATGCAACTGGAAGCCTTTAAGCTACAGGGTTGAAACCCTAAGGGCAGGAGTTGCAAGGTTTCTTGCCCGGCTGCTCCAGCAAGCACCAGCTGTTGAAGTCCTAAGGGGACACTGTCACCAGATTCGGCACCAACGGGAAGCGTCGCCGTCGCTCAGGAGCCGCCCGCGCCCAACGAGGCGGAGGCGGAAGATCCGTTCCCGCGGTGGAAGAAGACGTCGAGACCCAAGCCGAAGCCAATACCGAAACCTGCACCTTGGCGGCCAGGTCCAGGGCAGAGGTCGGGCAGGGAGGTTAAATTGGTCAGAAATTCCTGGTAGACCTTTCATTTCTTGTTCTTCTCTTTCGCGCGTCCAAGTCGTACCTGCAGTTGACGCGAATCATAAAGCGTGGCTTGAAGGCTGGGACACAATAGACTCAGATGTGTGGCACTTTTGATGTAGGGGTAACTTCAAACAACCTCGCTGCCAAGTCATGCATTCATGACCTGTCATGACCGCATTTCACTTTCATGCTTGGAGGTTTGAGGCTCTAGGGTAGGAGTTTCAGCTTCAGGAGGATGGAAGGGGGTGCGTGCACCCCCGACCCTGAGGAATCCGCAAGGATTCTGAACCTCCTGGCTGAGATCGGCCTTGAAGGCCCTAGGCTCGCGATCAGCCATGGTTCAGAAGATGTGTTGGCTCAGCAGCTGGCGGAGCGGCTGGGCCTTGAGTGCAAGCAGTGGCATGCGGCCTTTGTGCTTGGGCTGGTCAGGGAGGCAGTCCAGATGGTGGATCTAGATGAGCGGGTATCTGGGTCATCGTCAACAAGATCCATGCAAAACTTGCTGGATGCAAAGGCTGCCTTTGAGAAGGAGAGGAAAAAGACCCTAGAGCCTCCAGTGGTGCCAGCAGTGACACCTAGCTTGCCGAAGAGGGGTACATTGGGCAGAACAGTGAGGCTGAAGAGCGGCAGGGTTGCTGCAGAGGAGGAGGTGACCGACAAGGTCATGGACAAGCTCGTCGATGAGTTGATGAGGTACCGTGCACCGGTGCTGGACGAGATGAGGAAGACCATGAATCCCCAGAGAGCCAAGGATGCACTTCTGGGCAAATACCGGATCTCGACGGTCCGACGGTATCTGGCTTCGTGGGAGCGATTTAGGGAGTGGTCAGATGCATTGTACAAACCAGGCATGAGGCCAACGAGTATTACATTGGTTGATTACATGTATGCTCGTGAAGAGGAGGGGATGGGTCCTTCCATTCCCTTGGCAGTGAGCGCAGCAGTGGCCTGGTTTGAGAGGACGGCTGGCATTGCAGAAGAGGACATCCTGATGAATCAGCACTTCCCACAGATTGTCATGAAGGAGCTGACGAGGAAGTTGGAGCAGAAGGCACCCCCGATCAGGCGGGCGCCCCGCTGGTTGGGGTGTTTCATTGCACCGCTGGAGACCTTGGTGGTGGATGGCGCCGTGCAGTTCGAGGTCCGGGTATGTGCATGGTTTAAGCTCATCAAAATGTGGGCGTCGATGAGGTTCGATGATGCAGCGCATTTGAAGACCTCTGAGCTACGCTTCTACGACGGGCAGCTGGTCGGGATGATGCATCAGTCAAAGACGACGGGGGCAGGAAAGAGAGTTCGGGAGTTGCCCATCTTCATCGCCAAAGATGCGTACGTCCTGCATGACGACTGGCTGTCGATTGGGTTTGACCTGGTCAAGTTGCAGATGCCAAGAGAAAGAGAGTATGTCTTTCCGGAGGGTTGCTTCTATGGGACAGCCTACGGGGCATCACATGTGAAGTATGCGGAGGCCGTAGCAGGAAGCTCAAAGACGCTGGCTTTGCTGGAGGGCTACAATGGGCGGCTTATTCCCTCAGGCTGGGAGAGATTCTGGTCTGAGCACAGTGAACGTGCAACCCTCCCTAGTGGCCTGGCGGCACTGGGCGTGGAGAAGTCGGACAGGGACCTCTTGGGGAGATGGTGTCCAGAGGGTTCCGACGTCTATGTGAGGACATACAACGCAATCGTGAAGAAGATGCAAAAGAGGATTGTAGCAGTCCTGCGTGGTGAGTCAGCATATGAGGAGTTAGACGAGGGGTCGATCCTTGAAGAGCTGAAGGTATGGCTGCACGAGAAGTGGACGGTTCCTCAAGAGAAGGCGAACAGCGTTGTTGAGGCCTGGAAGGAGAACCTTGGGACCAAGCACGCTCCGCAGATGCCAATCCAGGTCTCCGATGAGGACACTACGATCTATGATGGCTCACAAAGTGAGAGGGAGACTGAGGGCCCAGGCCATGGCGGCCAAAAGCGGAGGAAGATGAATGAAGCGCTGGAAGAGGAAAGAGAGGGCGGCTATGTGGTCGTGTACAGGCGTGCAGGGCAAGGTACTCTGCATCGGTTGGGCGACAAAGGCTGCTGGATGGCAAAGAAGAGGTTCTTTGTGAGGTCAGAGACCCACCAAGAACTTCCGGCGCCCGAAGAGTATACACTCCGATGCAAGCTGTGTTGGGGTGGAGGAGACGGGCAGCTAAGTGAGTCCACAAGTGACTCGAGAGACGAATTGGGTCTCAGCGACTGAAAAGAAAGGTCGTTCGGGCACGGTGAGTCGGGCACAGCAGTAAACACCCTGGGTCGCACCCAGGGGCGGCTAGAGTGCAGCAGCATTCAAAGGAGCACTAGGTAGCACCTGGTGAGGTCCACTGGCAGGAGGTAGGGATAACCCTGGGCGGAGCGAGCCGCTCAGGCTTGGGGGCGGTGCACAGCAAGTGCAAGACGGAAGCCAGTGGAGACGGAGGCGGGGTCGCACCTCAGAGCATTTAGATTCTGTCACAACGCTTGTGTGCAGACATGTGCGTAGCATGCACGAGGGACACCGCAGTGTCATGATCAGCATCGCATGCTGCTTGCCTGGACGGTTCAATCAGGCGGGCGCGGGGCGTGAATGAGGGCCCGGGGTCGTCATGCCGCGCGCTGCAATCACGGACGATGAGGGCAACAAGGCTCTGGAAGCAGCAGGTACAGACATCAAATACTTGCTGTCACGGCATGAGGTCAGCATTGAGAACCAGAAGTTGTTTTACCACCATGGTGTCACATCGCTTGAGAAGTTATCAAACTTTGCAAAGGACAGAGATGATTTGGTAGCAGTGCTGAAAGACCACTGGGAGTCGGACGCAAGCCGCACATTGGAGGATAGGGTGCAGGTGGCAGCAATCACCTGCGCATTCATCAACGCGAAGACGAGGAGCCAGCGTGCTGCAGAAGTTGATGCCGAGTACGATACGCTGCAGTGGTCAAGGCCGGTAGTGGCCGGAGAATGGGCGGCTATGCGTTCAGCATTAGAGAAGAGGTACGGGTACTTGGATGACAAGATTTACCCCTCCAAAGAATTTGTTGAGAAGAAGTTGGCGGAGGTTGAAGGTGGCGAATACCGGGCCGAAGAGCTCACAGAAGTTGTTTCGAAAGAAGAAATTGAGCCCGATTCCGTGGTGCCTATTTGGGACTCCAAGGGCCGATTGGCCACGCGCCGAGGATCTACGAAAGTGCCTGAACCAGCGAACGCTGAAGAACTTCGTCGGCGCCTGACGATTTGGAAGAACGCCATGGTCATGATATCGCTGAAGCATTCGAATAGGCATGAGCTTCAAGGGGCATGGGAGGACACAGTCGACCAGTACAAGGACTACCTCCTTGGGGATTACGTGTATGGCCTCAGTGCAAAAGACGCAGAGGGCCAGACCTTCGCAGCTCCACCATGGAAGCTCATCATCGCCTATGAGAGAGCAATCAGGAAGCAGGCAGTGAGGATTACAAATACGGAGGGGAAGCCGCTCACAGTCGCCCTCAAGCTTGCATGGAAGGACGCAACCAACAAGGAGAGAAATTTTACAACGCCATTGGCTTTGTATGCAAAGAGGCCGACACCTCCTTGGAGAGAGCAGTCATCGGCACCTTCGAAGTGGGCAGCAACAGAGAAGGGTGCCAAAGGCAAGGAGAAAGGGAAGGCCAAGAAAGGCAAGGGGAAAGGCGGCAATCCACACTGTGCAACACACACGCCTGAAGGTGAGATGATTTGCTTCCGGTACAACACGCCGGGTGAGAAATGCAAGGTTGCAAAGTGCAAGTACAAGCATGTCTGCGGCATTTGCTACAGCAGTCGTCACCCCATGTACGAATGCAACCCGAAAGTGCGGAAGGAAGCAACAGCTCCTGATACAGACGGGAGCAAGTGAAGGATCCTTCGGGTCCTATACGTGTTTTCTGGGAGAAAGAGGCGCAACTCAGTTGCAGGGTTTCTCAGGAGACTTGCACCACGAGAGGGTGTCCATGTGGTGATCACAGAACTGGACATCCAGTCGGACAGGAAATCAGATTTCACAATCCCTTCAGTACAGAAGAAGTGGCTGCGACTCATTGCTGAAGGCATGTTCTACGCAGTCCTTGTTACTCCACCCTGTTCAACCTTTTCAAGGGCAGTGTGGGCAAATGATTTGGGGCCTTTCCCGCTGAGGAGCTCATCCTACCCGAGAGGGTTCCCATGGAACAGAGGGGAGCGGTTTCACAAGGCAGAATTCGGTACAATCCTGGCAGACTTCTCATTCGAAGCTTTGAAACGTCAGTTTGCATGCAAGCGGTCAGTGGGCATCATGGAGCAACCAGAGGATCTTGGTCGGACAAGCCATGAACGATTGGCTGGTCACCAGCCGGCTTCAATGTGGCAGTTTTGGCAGTTTTATAAACTACTGGAGCAACAGGACGTACAAACAGTGGTCTTTGCACAATCAGCATTTGGCACAGACTCTCCCAAGCCCACAAGATTTTTGATGCGGATTTTTGCTCCACTTCATCCAGCAATGTATTCAGGTCCACCTCAGTTTGATGCACAAGGCTGGTACGCTGGCCCCTTGCCACGGCAGCCAGGGGGAGCCCCCCTGATTGGCAAGGACAATGGGGTGTTCCGGACAGCACAGTCGGCAGCATGGCCCCCAGCATTGTGCAAGTGGACAGCTGAGGCTATACTCACCTCCTTTAGTCAAGAGTGCACGGGGGGGGGGTGAGTTTTTCGACAACGCAGAGGTTCAGAAGAAGAGGAAGGCAGCTGAGAATGAGGAGCCTGAAGGAAAGCGAAGAAAGATCCAACAAGGGGTGAAGAGCAGTGTTGAGGTTGATCCGATGAAGCCAATTTTTCCTGGAGGTCATGGGCCGCCCCGTACTTGCCGGTGGAAGGGCTTGCAGGCACCATTTCATGATGGTGGAGGGCTGGCATCGCCTGGAAGATGGCCCCCGAGCAGGAGGAAGAAGGTGCTTGGGGAGGAGTGGACGAAGATCAGGCTTCAACTTCGTATGGAGGCGGTCAAGAGGCTTGGCAGTGTCGCGGAGGTGTAGAAGGAGGCCTTCAGAATGGCAAGAGGAGGAGACAGCTTCAGCTTGGTGAGGGACGAAGGATTCTTGAGCAGTGTCCGGAGCATCCTGGCAGAGGCTTTGAAGATCCCAGTGCAAAAGGACCCGGAGGAAGGACAGCCGTTCTTCCTGGGTTTGATGGGAGGAGTGTTGGAGAGAGCCGGAGACCCAGATTGGAAGTTCTTGGAGCAGGCGAAGACGGGGCTTCCTCTGGGTGTGCTGAATGAACTCCCTAGGACGCCTGAGGTCTTTGAAGAGCAACTTCGATGGAATTTGGAGGCAGAGGATTGGAGCAGTGCAGCATGGCAAAAGGATAACTACTCCTCGGCAGCAGAGCACGAGAAGTACTTGACAGAGCATTTGGAGCAGGAGGTCCGGGAAGGCCTCATGGCCAGGATGGAGGAGGAGGAGTTCATCAAGACCTACGGTGAGAACAGGGCAGTGGCTGCCTTGGCTGTTCTTGTGGAAGATGAGGTGACAGGGAAAAAGAGGGTCATCCACGACGGGACGCATGGCGTGATGGTGAATCACAGGATCAGGTGCAGGGACAAGGTAAGGATGCCTGGGCCTCGTGAGAAACGGGCATTGCTGGAGGAGTACGAGGCTGAGAAGGTGACGGTCTTGTCACTGGTGGGGGACTTCGCAAAGGCTCACCGACGGTTCAAGTACATGGAGGACGAGCAAGGTTTTCTGGCATGCAAGGCATCAACAGAATCCAAAACCGTCTATGTGAACAAAGTTGGGACCTTTGGCGTTGCTTCTACACCATATTGGTGGGCAAGGTTGAGTGCGGCGCTGATGAGGCTAGTTTACTGGGTCTTGGGCGAAGGCTTTCCAAATGATATGTTGCTGTACGCTGATGACCTGGAGGTTTTGACAATAGGCTGCGAAGGGAGGATTGGCGGTGTGTTGGCCTTTTCCTTGATGGCAGCACTTGGGGCTCCTTTCAAGTGGGCCAAACAGAGAGGGGGATTGTCGACAGAGTGGATAGGCTTGACCACGGATTACAGGGACCTTTCCATGGGCCTCTCGCAGAGACGGGCAGAGTGGATCCTTGGCTGGATACGCTCCCTGAGGTCGCGCAAGGAGATCACATATCGTGAGTTTGCAGCTGGCCTTGGAAGATTGGGTTTTTCGGCCCTCGCGTTGCCATGGGAGAGGCCCCTGCTGGGTCCCCTCTACGCCTGGTCGTCAGCAATACAGTCCAATCGAGGTGCGATGACAATTCCGTGGGCAGTGCAGTTCATCTTGGATTGGATAGCGAAGAGGCTAGAGGCTGGAGGGAGGATGGAAGTGGTCAAGCAGCCGGCTCGGGTAGACAGCCCTCCTTTGAGGATTTGGACGGACGCCAAGGCCACAGAAGATGCAGCATGGGTCGGTGGCTGGCTTGAAGAGTCTAGCTGCAGCAGGGAATGTCGGTGGTTCTCATGTCGGGTCACCGAAGAGATGGCTCCCTGGTTGTTCTACCGGGGAAAGAACCTGAAAAGGGTCATTGCGGCTCTTGAGCTATTGGCCACCCTGATGGCTCTCAAACTTTGGCTGAGGGGCGCTGGTGATACAGCTGAGGTCCACGCAGAGGCATTTACAGACAACAAGGGAAACGCTTTTATCTTGCGCAAGGGACTGTCGACAAAGTTTCCAGTCACATTGCTGGTCATTGAGGTTGCAGAGACGCTTAGACGACAAGATGCCTATGCGACTCTCACCTGGGTGCGAAGAGACGGCAATGAACTTGCAGATGCATTGACAAATGAGGATTTCAGTTCTTTCGCAATGCAATATCGGGAAGAAGTGGGGAAGGAGCCCTTCCAGTGGATAGTCATGGATGAACTCTTGAAAGGTAGCGAGAAACTTTTCAATGAGATCAAAGAGCACAAGGAGCAAAAGAAAAAGTTGAAGAACACCATGGGACTTGCACGAAAGAAGACACGGAAGTTCTTTGGACGTTGGTGCTCCTGACTGAAGTTGGGTAAGACCATGCCGGGGAGCCCCCGGTATGGCCGGCAGGAGACAC